GAGAATTTCACGGGCTACAGAATAATATATGAGACAGTCAGAGGAAAGTGTAACCAATAGTCTAAGGTTCGAAATACTCGCCACAATCTCACAAATCGGTTGGTCAGTGTCGTTCGTGTTTAAAATAGTAAGTTATAGAGCATAGAAAATAAGACATCTCCCGGTGGTCTATAATGCTTGTTCACGCAACTGCAGCCGATTTACGATTTGTTACAAAGGGCGTGAAAATTACTGTATTAAATTACTGTATTAATTAAGTAACGTTAACGTTACTTTAAAGCCGAACTCGAACTTCTGAACCCGAACCCGAAGTTTGCGTTATTCAAACGTTAAAGACGTCATAGGCTAAAAAACGCGTTGTTTGAAAAATCATGATTTATGAGTTCTGTGTTGTGTCTATGTCTATTATGTCTTTTCTTATGCGAAGAATAGATCATAATACAGTTATCACGTACTGTTCTGTTTTTATCTTCATAAAAATCTCTTTTTTGTTAGTAGTAATCGACCAACGTCACAACTAGTCTCACGTCTTCTTATTGTCTTAAGCACGTCACGTTTGAATGTAGGCCGATTGGTCGATTACTACTAATAGAAGAGAGATTTTTTATGAAAATAAAAACAGAATAGTACGTGATAATATTATTATGATCTGTTCTTCGCATAAGAAAAGACATTATAGACACAACGCAGAACTCACAAAACATAATTTTCAAACAACGCGTCTTCTAGCCTATGACGTCTTTAACGTTTGAATATACGCCCGTCATAAGTAAGACTAAGGTAGAAGAGCTTGTGAATGATCATCATGCTTTTTAAGAAATAACGTCATTTTGAATGAAAAATCAATCGACTCAAATTGAAATAATTGAACCTGCTTCCACTTCCATCAAAGCTGCTAGTAAAAAGCGATTGTGCGCATACGGTAGTTTATCGCTAAGAGAACGGCGGAAATTCATTGCAGCCTTTCTTGTTCCTCTCACCATTGGCATATTTACTATAGTGACAACAATGCAACAAAATTCTACAAGTTACCGAAATCGTTTGAATGATTTAGCGATAGCCGATCGTCAGCGTCAACAATCGGACGAAATTCAAAAAGATGCCATTTGGTCATCATATATAAAAGATTTGGAAAGACTTTTTATGAAAAATACTCAGAATTATTCTGTTGATGAACAGAGAATGCGTGCAGCTTTTGTACGAGCAAAATCATTAACAACACTACGTCAAATCGATGTGAAACGAAAAGGTTATTTGATTCAGTTTTTGTATGAAGCGGATCTTCTTCATGGTGGTGACAAAAATAATTTAATAGACCTAAGTGGAGCTGATTTGAGTGGTATTCATCTAGGTAGTTCACCTACATCACGGTATGTTCTAGACAATATTTCTCTTCGTAACGTGAATTTAACAAATGCATCATTTATTTCAACGTATTTGGAAAACGCCGATTTTACTGGTTCAATAATGACCAATGCAAATTTTACTGATACATATTTACATAGGGCGAAATTCATCGATTGTCAGTTAGATTATACAAGTTTTCAAAATGCCTATACTTTAACGACAGTGTTCGAAAATGTGAATTTTACGGGAG